TTGTCACACATGTATACTGCCAGATATTAATACATACTTTCAACATATTGTACCACAGTAGCCAGAACTATAACTATAATATTATTACTTTCAATAATGTTGTTGTAAGCTACTGTCATTACCTGCATCTCTCTCTCTCTCTCTCTCTCTGTCTCATTGTGTCATGCGGATTACTGTTAATTTATTATGCTGATCTGTTCTGTACGACATCTATTGCACGTCTGTCCGTCCTGGAAGAGGGATCCCTCCTCAGTTGCTCTTCCTGAGGTTTCTACCGTTTTTTCCCCATTAAAGGGGTTTTTTTGGGGAGTTTTTCCTGATCAGCTGTGAGGGTCATAAGGACAGAGGGATGTTGTATGCTGTAAAGCCCTGTGAGGCAAATTGTGATTTGTGATATTGGGATTTATAAATAAAATTGATTGAATTGATTGATTGATGTCAGCAGGTGGTAAAATATCTGTTTACAATAATTCATATAAACAGGGTCTAAATATTTTCTGGTGAACTACACAATATGGACCGTACAGTGAAGGCAATGGAACACACAGAGTCTTTAAATTCACTGGAAGGCTTTTACTGTGAAACAGCTGTACAGGAAGTGTTGAGTTTTTGAGGCAGTAGTAATCATTGCAGTGGAAATGAACATTATACTGTTCACACAGTGGGTCTGTATCCTCTCAGTGTTTGACCTGTCCTCACAGCCTGTCTTTGAGCTGAGACGTTACGTCTCTGCAGAGACTGTCGGTCTATTGTCTCCGTACAGTATGTAACTGTGTGTGTGTGTGTGTGTGTGTGTCTGTGTCTGTGTGTGTGTACAGCAGCCTCTGTGATATTCATCAGTGTTACATTATGAATCAGATGTTTAATTCAGAGTCGCTGCAGTTCACTTCACCTACTTCAACTAATGTGCTGTAATATTCATGTTTGTCCTCCAACATTCATGAGTCTCACTGTGAGACAGGAAGTCTGAACTTTAACTCATCTGGACTCTGAGGGGCTTTTATTTTTACCTCCACTCCACCTCAACCACACACACACACACACACACACACACACACACACCCACACACACACACTCAGCCTGTTAGCTGTCACTGAGATTAGACCTCATTAGTGTGTTCGCATCAATAAATCATGTCCTCTAATTATTTCTCTTTACATATGAACAGTGGTGCTCAGTATTATGGGATGTAACCATACATATATTCATATTAAAGCACTCAGTACGAGGCTCACGGTTCAGTACGCATTATGTACTGAACGATTCGTTAAACTATCCTGTAACTGTTAAATAAAATCTACAGTTGTGTTTAATATGATGTTGTCAACATTCAGCTCACAGGACTAAACAGGAAACGCGCTGTCTTAAAATACAGCTGACCCGTCAGGTCCAGTCCGGTTCTTAACCTTCTGAACCCTGGAGTGACATCACTGTTCTCGTGCTGCGTTCAGACGCCTGATATTGGCCAATATATCTATTTTGAATTTCTGTACTTCCTAATATTGCCTGACTGGGACAACCTGTCTGTCTGTCTGTCTGTCTGTCTGTGTCTCTGTGTGTGTCAGACAGACAGTCAGACAGACAGACGGTCGGGTCGACAGCTGTGACAGAAGCAGCTGAGATGTGTTTGCACGACTCCGACTCCTTCAGCGTCGAGGAGATGAGACGACAGACAACAGACGGAGGTGAAGAACTGAAAGATGACGTGGACGGACAGAGAGGAGGAGAGAGGACAGAAAGAGACAGAGAGGACCGAAGAGAAGTAACTGAAGGTGTTAATTTAACTAAGGTGGAAAAAAGGAGGAAATAAAGTAAAACTCCACCAAGACGGCACAAAACTGATTTAATAACAGAAAACATTTGTAAATTAAGTTAATCTGTAAAATAGGATGGTCGTAAAAACATCATGGGACACATGAGAGAAGTTTGAGCTGAAGTTACATGAACACAGTGAAAATGTTCAAACTCAGACGGACAAAAGTCTCCCATATTTAACCTGCACACGGCTGTCCCAGTCTCATCACCTGAGCTCCAGGTGAGTCTCATCTTTATTCATATGTATCATTAATGGGTGGAGCCTGTCTCAGCCTCTCCGTCACCTCTCAGAGTCGAACTACTAACCAAACATTCTTGGTGGAGATAAAAAAGAAAAACAGAAAAGAAGAAGAAAGTGATGGAAGAGAAGCTGCGCTGACGCCTCTGGCAGAAAGAATATAAAAGCCAGGAGGATGATGGAGGGATGATGGAGGGATGACGGAGGGATGATGGAGGGATGACGGAGGGATGATGGAGGGATAAACAGAAAGCAGTTTCACTTCTACAAACATTTGTTGAGCAGATAATCTGACAAACTTCAGTCGGAGCCAAAGAACGACAAACGGAGGAGATGTTTTAAGATTCAGACTCTGGTACACGTTCGTGGTGTGTCTGTGTCACTCTGCGGTTACACCTCCAAAACACTAGGTGGAGGTTTTTGTGAAGTGCTGTAAAGATCAGTTGATTCAAAACACACAAAAAAACACACATTCAACACACATTCAACACACACACACACACACACACACACACACACACACACACACACAAAAACACACATTAAACACACAAAAAAACACAAAAAAACACACATTCAACACACACACACACACACACACACAAAAACACACATTAAACACACATTAAACACAAATTCAACACACAAAAAACATATTCAACACATATTCAACACACATTAAACACACAAAAACACACATTAAACACACAAAAAATACAAAAAACACACATTAAACACACAAAAAACAAAAAACACCCATTAAACACACACAAACCCCCCCCAAAAAAACACCCATTAAACACACACAAAACCCAAAAAACACACATTAAACACACATTAAACACAAAAAACACCCATTAAACAAACATTCAACACACATTCAACACACATTCAACACACAAAAAACACACACTAAACAAACATTCAACACACATTAAACAAACACACATTAAACACACATTAAACACACAAAAAACACACACTAAACAAACATTCAACACACATTAAACACACAAAAACACATACTAAACACATATTAAACACACAAAAAAACAAAAAAACACACATTAAACACACACAAAACCCAAAAAACACACATTAAACACACATTAAACACAAGAAAAACACACATTAAACAACAAAAAACACCCATTAAACAAACATTAAACACACAAAAAACACACATTAAACACAAAAACACCTATTAAACAAACATTCAACAACACACAAAAAACACACATTAAACACATTAAACACACACACAAAATGCACATTAAAAACACGTTAAACACTCATTAAACACACGTTAAACACACATTAAACACACACTAAACACACGTTAAACACACTAAACACACATTAAACACACATTAAACACACAGTAAACACACAAAAAGAAACACACATTAAAAACACACAAAAACACATTAAACACATTAAAACACACAAAAAACACACATTAAAAACACATAAAAAACACACATTAAAAACACACAAAAACACGTTAAACACACATTAAACACACAGTAAATACACAGTAAACACACATTAAACACACAGTAAACACACATTAAACATGGCCTAATAGCGACAGTTTCAAACACAAATCAGCTTCACTATAACTCGCAGCATTCACAGACAAACACTTGTCTTTATCTGGACACGTTTTCCAAACAAATACAACATGCTAACGTTATTAGCACAAGCCTATGGCATTTTACATTGTATACATTAGCCTAGCAGCTAACAGAGATTTGCTCTGCTCATATTTCAGCCAGGATAAATCACACACAGTGTGTGGAGGCTTTATTGTCTTCACAGTTTATTGTTTCTTATCTGTGAAATTAAAGTAAATCAAAGTTTTGTTTCCACTGAGGGAAATGGTTTCAGCTTACAGAGACAGACAGGAGGTCTGCGTCACTGTGACGTGGAGTTACATTTCAGTGTATGTTACGCCAAAGCTTTGGCGTCAATTCAACGCATAAGTGTAAATTCCGTCTCATACAGATGTAATAAAAACATTAAAAACTGGTACTGAGGGACGTCAGTGTGAGACGCTCTGTCCGTACACTCAGCTAATAGAAGTGAAACTGCAGTCTGATGATGGAGGAGTTATGACACACACACACACACACACATACACGCACAAACACACACAGCAGATCATTGTTTGTCATGCAGTGACCAGCACTCACACACACACACACACACACACACACACCCGGATTAGAACGAAGCACACACACACATCTGTTACATCAACACATGATGGTCAGCACACGCGTGTCCTCACAGTGTCAGTGTGTGTATAAACTGTATCTACACACTCTGTGTGTGTGTGTGTGTGTGTGTGTCCTGACCTTGGTCTCCCTCTCCTCCAGCAGTGTCTCCAGTCTCTTCTGAGCCGCTCGGCCTTCGTGGTCGTCGCTGACGATGAGGATGATGTGATTCCACCTGAACTCTCTCATCAGGTCGAACCAGACCTGAGCCTGGTGGGAGTACGGAGGCACCGTCCTCAGGAACGACAGGTGGATGCTCTGAGGAGGAGGAGGAGGAGGAGGAGGAGGAGGAGGAGGAGGAGGAGTGTTTAAGGGTTTAAGGGTTTAAAGGTAAACCATGACTTGTAAGTTATTGTGTACATTTACTTATTTATGATACTGACAGAAATGCAGCTGGACGGAGCATTTGGATCATCAGTCAGTGAGTACAGATAAACCAAAGACAGAGAGCTGGTCACATCTCTTATAATGATGTGTGAGCGTATTTGAAAGCTGCATTAGGGATATTCACGTTTTAGTTAGCAGCTCCTCTGTGACGAGCAGCGTCAGATTAACGTCTTCCTTCAGAGTGTTTCCTGGTTTAAATCAGCTGGTGTGTGTGTTTCTGAGAGGAAGAGACCTCTGAGGATAATTCAGCTCCTCAACACTGAAGGAATTCTCACCAGGGGAAGTTTCAGATGGTTGTAATCTGTAATCTGTAATCCTCACTGATAGACGACACTAAATCCTCCTGAATCTGACACACTGGCCTTTAACTGATTCTCTGTCTGATGTTTTGTATTTTCTGAAACATGGATGTAAAGATGACGGGGCGTGAATCACAGGATCCAATAAGATATTATCAAGTTACAATATTATCCCTCTGAGACCTGAACTTTTGTTTGATATGGATTTTTAATTTCTCCTCGCTATGTGGGATCAGTCGGACCTGACGAGGATACAAATCTAAACATCAACAATAGTAAAGTCCTCAAACGAGTACTTCCTAATGAACAGTGTCCTATCTTGTTTCTGTTACTAAAATTTGTCAAATTTGTTGCTGTATCAAACTACAAACATTAATAATTCTGAATAAACAAGTGTCAAAAATAACATGTGATCAGGTTTTGTCCACTCTTGTCTAAGGATCAGCTGCAAGCTGACTCGGCAGAGATGGCTGCCATCTTGTTTTCACATGGATTAGTGTGCTGTGCGCTCACTACCACTAGATGGCACAAAAAAGTGTCCACGAGGGAGGACAACAGGTCTGAGTTAGACAGAAGGAAGTATGAAGTCAAGTAAACCCAAAATGTCACGTCCTCATATGAGGACACAGAGTCTCAGGACAATATTGCAATTTTCAATATGTTGCAACACGCTGAGTATCGTGATAAAATATGTTGTGATTTATTACCTTTTTATCAACTGTAAATTATGTACCTCAAGGAAAACTTTATCTTATTAGATCTTAATGATTATTGATAAATAAAAAATCGATACTTAGCACTGTATGACAATATGATATGGCCACACAAAAATATCTGGACACTATGCTGTGTCGATTATTAATGATATGTAGAATTCAAACTGTCTTCACATCACATGAGCGAGTACAGGGAGTGTGTTTTGGATTGTAATTTGGGTGAACTGACTCTTTAAAGGTATCATCTCTATATGGAATCTCAGTGAGGTGACTCTGCTGCTGCTGGTGTTAAAATCAAACACACTGCACCTGAAACACTGACTGACAAACACCTGAATATTTCATCACTGTGGATCAACCTGCAGAGTGCTGTTCACTGGGAGTGCTGGGATACTCTGAGATATTCTGGGATGTTCTGGGACTGATGACACTCTGAATTATTTCATCAATATTGTAAAAGGTGAGAGAGACTCTGAGTGGTTTCCAGTTCAGTCACACGTCTGAGAGAGTCTCCAAACTGGGACAAACTGGACTAAATATTCTACAACCTGCACTTAATGGAGCCTGAAGGCAACACAGGAGAGTCTCAGCGAGCACCACTGAACTCTCTGAACCCTCCTTCATACACAGAACAAACACCTGGAACATGACGGGAACACACAGAGCTGAACACAAAGAACTAATATTCACTGTAATCACAAAATACTAAAACAGGATGAAGACAGAGATGGATTCATGACATTTTCATGGTCTGATAACCGCCTCAGAAAACATCGCAGTGTTACAGTATTGATCTTCTCATCAGTCAGAACGATCCTCACAGGAATGAATGAGGATTATTGTTGGTTGAACAAAGGTTTTATTACTGTAACTGAAACTTGAAACATTTAGTTTAGGAAAGTTTGTGTAAAAAGTCTCCTCTTAAAAAAATAACTCAAAAAAAGAGAGATTCAACGTCCAGTGGGATTTTGTTCTTCAATACTGTAGACCAGCAAATGTACACGGTATGATAACCGTCAATTTTAATATCACAGTGTACCTTGACACCGGAGAACCATTGCAACCCTGATGTCGTTTTCACACCAGGCGCAAATAAAACAATTTGTGCATGAGAAGTTAATGTAAAGACACAGCAGGCAGCCTGATGGATGCAACGCAGATGACACAAAATACATGAATTAAGCCATGTAAATGAAGTGAGTAGCATGATGTTGCGTCATACGCTTATTTGCAACACTTGAAAAATCTGTGCTAATGTGAACAATTCGTTTCGCAGTAGCCAATCAGCACTGAGATCCTCCGGGGACGAATGATGCTGAAGATGTAACAGGAAGTTCATTCATTGATTCAGTGATTTCACACACATATGATGCGGCATGATGTGGCATGACAATTTGCATGATGAGGAGATTCTGTAAAATAAATTATGATTGTATTTAGAGTAACGTTACTCTCTGTAATGTTCCTGTATTTCGTTCAGACTGTTGGCTCCATGATACTAAGAAGTTTACTGTTTTATACCACATGATGAGCTATAAAGACTGAAGTGATGTGATTACGTAGAAGAGGGTTTTATTGTGACAGAAGGTATGGTACTGTCTAATTTCTGACAATGAGCCTCACTGGAGGAACATTCAACATATGAGAGGACCCAGTATGGAGCCCTGAGGAACACCATGATGAAGAAACAAAGACATTAAATGCACCACAAAGTGTGAGAAAAAAAGTTTCATTTTAAAGCTCTGAACATTCAGGTTACCTTGTCAGAGTAGATGGACATGCGTGTTGTCAGGCCGACCACAGGGATCCGGTAGAAACCGGCAGTGTAGGAGACAGGTGTAGGAGTCAGGTGGTCGTTGGACTGAGGAGGGTGACTGACCAGGATCGCATACACCTGAAGAAGAAGAAGAAAAATTATTTAATCAAAATGACATTGAAAGTTTGTTAAAACACATAACGTCTTGTGTCACTGCACACTGTGCAGTGGTTCACTCTTCGGCTTGCTGGGCATGTGTGTTTTATGCTACTAGGTTAGCTGCTAATGAGAGTGTGTAGCAGCGCAGCAGCTTGTTCTTCAACCTGTGTTACAGACAGTGTTTTGCAGGTTGAAAAACACGTGGTGCACCGCACTGCCTTTTGTTTTGCTTTTTTTTGTTTTTTTTGAATGCCACTAGTAAGAAAAACACTTGCTGCTTCTTTTTATTGTTGCCAGGCAACCACCCCATCACCT